ATTGGGTCCAGATTGATGTGTGCAAAGTTTTGTTGGAATCCATTCAGATTTTTATATAGCTCTCATATATAGTTTCCTCCGATTTTATGTGAATGATGCACCAAACTCCCAATATTTGTCCGATTGAGACAAAATTTTGCACAGAGTACTAAATTAGGTCTAGACTGATGTATATGAAGGTTCGTTGAAATCGGTTCAGATTTCGATACAGCTCCCATATATAGTTTCGTCCGATTTTATGTGAATAATGCACTAGACTGATGTATATGAAGGTTCGTTGAAATCGGTTCAGATTTCGATATAGCTCCCATATATAGTTTCGTCCGATTTTATGTGAATAATGCACCCAATGTTTGTCGTTTTAGAAAACATTTTGCATTTGTTGAAATCAGTTCAGATTTATATATAGTTCCCGTATATATGTTCGTCCGATTTTATTTAAATGGAGCACAAAACTCCGAATATTTGTCCGATTGAGTCGAAATTTTGCTTATCGTATTGAATTGAATCTAAAATAATGTATTTTAGGTTTTTTCATATTTTGATATATATTCGCCCAATTTTGTATGTATGCTCGATTGACATGAAATTTTGTAAAGAATGGCATGTTTATGGGTTGATTTAAATTGGTACATATATCTATGTAGATCACATATTTAAATTATTTTGATTGTGTGTCGATGGTCCTCTAAAGATGATATGTCTCTTCTACCGACAGGACATTGTACGTATAGGCATCTCTTGTATGTACCTAAAGCGGTGAAGGGTTTCATATAGTCGGCCCGTCCGACTTTTGAACTTTCCTTACTGGTTAAAGAATATGTTTGGGGACCATTGGAAAGTTGATTAACAGTGCGGGAATTATCTTTCGTGTGTATTTCAAAGGCGAGGTATCAAGATTAATTTCTATATATAGAAGACTAATAGGGATTTCTATAAAATCCAGATCCAGTAATATGTCTCTTCAGATAGGTAGGTCGCTGGGGTCTTCTATACATGAAAATCACTGAGCTATTCTACGAGTATATCGTTCATTAGCAGCGAGAACGGCATAAATAAAAAATTGTGATTTTTGAGTTAATGATTCAGAATTGTTCGCTATATCAGACTTTATGTTGTGTCAAAAAATTTAAAACTTTATTCGCATTATCTGCCAAATCGATTTCATTATTTATGCCGGTCTTACAGCAAATGAGGGATATTTAATCAAATTTACACTATTTTTAAGGCACATCTTCGCAAAAGGACTTTCACAAACATTGTGAACCGAAAAGATTTTCCTTCAACACATTTTAAAAATGCACATATGTGGTCTAATCTGTAAATAGGTACATTTGTCCTCAATATGAGGACAACGACTAAAATTTCGATGTTTTTGAATTTTGCAAATTCACCATTTCAGCGCCAATTATCATTGGGCCACAGTCGCAATTTATTTATGTGCATTAATCAGTATTAAATAAATACGTAGAAAACAGTAAAAACAATTTTTTAACTTTAAATATTTCTTTTCGACCACACCTGAACTCTTGAGGCCTGTCATATTGACATACTATAAGTGTAATCAATTGTCAATCATAGGGAATGTCGTCATAGTATCAGCTATCGCATGGATTTATTTTTAATATGCGACATATTTAATTTTTGTTGTTTAATTTATGTTTTTATATTTCTATAATTAACGTATATTTATTGGGGTTTGCATATTTAAATAAATAAGAATATAAAACCAGTCAGGAAAGTTCAAAAGTCGGACAAGACCGTTTATATGATACTTTTCACCATTCTGGGTACATAAAAGATATGCGGAGGAAATTGAATATAGTATGATCTACAAAGACATTTGAAATTTCTCATTTCTCAATTGGACAAATAATGGGAGTTTGGTGCACTATTTACCTATAACACTGTGCAGCACTAAAATCTTGAACCAATCGAGACCCCCAAAATCTTGAAGCTTGTGATGGTGGAGGAAAATCCCTAGCTGGGTTTTGCATTATTAGCTAAGTTTTTTTTTTTTTTAAATTAATTTTTAAAATATTCGCACTGGGGTCCCAAATTTTCACACAATTTTATAATAATATGTACTTATTATTGAGTCTATATCTCGTGATATATATTCGAAATATTGCTTTCTCTCTTAAGCAATATTTTTCCTCTTAATTAGATATAAAAATTTTCTCTTGAGATCAAATCAATAAAACAGCACCATCATACTGAAAATAGCACACCTGCAAAAAAATTAAAATTTCGACATACTTTTTCCATGTTTAATTTTTACTTCAATTTTGTACCTATTGAAAAAAGCATAGCAATTTTTATTTCTATAAACATACAATTGGGATTGAATTTCTTTGGTTAATTTTGATGAATTTGTGAGGCTATAACTATGTGAAGGAGTCAACCAATGAAATCGGGGTTTTAAGAAGAGTTGTTTTATTTGCTATTGGCTATCTTTTTGTCATATATTGTTTGGCCGAGACAGTAGCAGTTTCTGAAATAAGTGTGAAAAAACATGGAAAAAGTATGTCTAAATTTTAATTTTTTTTGCAGTTGTGCTATTTCAGTATGATGGTGTTGTTTTATTGATTTTATCTCAAGAGAAAAGTTTTAGATCTAATTAAGAGGAAAAATATTGCTTATGAGAGAAAAGCAATATTTCGAATAGTTCACGAGATATAGACTCAATAATAAGTACGTATTATTCGAAAATTATGCTAAAATCCGCCCCAGTCGAATATTTTAAAAATTAATTAAAAACCAGTGAGCGGAGCAGTATAGTCGGACGGGGCCGACCATACGATACCCTACACAACTTCCATTAAAATCTAACTTTCTGTGGTTCTATATTCTGAGATTGGGCAATATTTCGCGATATTTGCACACTTTTGACTGGCTAGTGGTCAGCAAGTGTTATTAATAATCAGTACAACCCCTCTAATTACTTGTCCAGATTCCCTTCACCGTGGGTTGTGTTGTGATGTTTGGCTTTCGACTCGAAAAGTACAAATAATTAAGTTTTCGGTCCACTTTATCCGAAAAATTATTATCTGATCATCACCAAACATTTTAGGCGTTGTCCTTGACCATAACTGGAACCTCATGGAACATTTCAAAGCGATCAGCGCTATATTTCTGCTCCATTATGGGCCCTCCAGTGTAGTAATAGGTTACTAAATAATATATAAATACTTAAGCACCTGTAAATATTTATGTTTACTCCCGCATCCGAGTACCTACGGCAATATAATTGGTATCAATTTAAAGGTCAACCACTACTCTTGGATATACTATCAACTTCTCGGGTCTATGTCCTTCAGTGGTAAATATATACGCTATAGAATACAAATTTTGTCATTTTTCACACAAAAGTTAGGGTCCATTTGACCCGCTAAATATTTACCGATCTTTATCAAAACAGGTATGTTTATTCTTTGGCCCGATCCCCTTCTCCATGCAAAAATTCGCGGTGTTTGGGCCATAATTGCGGCCTCTGGAGCGACCAGAAAAACCGACAAAAATAAAGTTTTTGGTCCATTTCATCCCCTAAATATTAATTGATCTTTTCCAAAAACAATAGGGGTCTTCATTGGCCAGAACCCATCCTACATGCAAAATTTCGTGAAGATTGGTCTATAACTCTGGCCTGTATCGTGTTTACAAATTATAATGGACAGACGGACGGACGGACGGACACACATGTCTAGATCGACTCAGCTAGTCGAGATATGACGATCGGTATACTTAAAGGTGGGTCTAGGACCAATATTTCGCGGCGTTACAAACTTTTGGGGCTGCACAAAGCTATAATACCCTGACAACATAGTTGTGTAGGGTATAAAAACCTTAGCTAATAATGCAAAACCCAGCTAGGGATTTGGCACATATGTATTTGAAGATTTAAAAAGGAAGAAAAATAATTTACCAAAATTTGTTGTTGTTGTTTTGTTGTTGTTTTTTGGGTTCAAAGAAAAGTCCATATTTTCGATGGCGGGCATGATAACTCCTCACTGGAACATCGGAATCCGAAAATTCCAACTGTTTTAGAAAGAGGACATGTCTGGCTCTCGTATGAACTAGGACTTCGCACAACAATTAACAAAATGGCGGAACTTTGAAAAAATTTTTATGGAAAATCGCCTATTTTTTACCACAAACTAAGTTAAAAAATAAGGAAGATCTTCACCGATTGGCTTTATCCTAGTTCATACGAGAGCTACACACTCCCAGAGAAACGTGTCAAAATTTGAAACCGATTGGATTATTAGTTTTTGAGTTATCGTGCCCGCCATTCGTTTTGAGAAAAACGCGTTTAAAGTTTGAGAAGCCCTTTAGCCGTCACTTGATGCTAACACAATAAATCGGCTATATCTTTAAGAGTTCTTGAGATTTTCACTTGAAATTTTGTAGAGACATTCTAGAATTAGAGTAGATTCGAATTAAATCAAAAAAAATTTTGACACCGAGAATGGGGGGGTCCCCTTAAAACGGTTTTATAGTCGATTTTTAGCTCCTGTGCGATGTTACGACTGCTAACATGCCGGTCAACTTCGATCATTTCTCCTATTTTATCGACTTTTTCGACGAAAAACTAATGGATTTCTTTTTCCCCAACCTAATATATTTTTGCCCCATATAGCATCCCTCGGATTTTCAATATGTATGGCTCCATTATCGAACAAAAATTAACAATGGGCGCCACATTTTCGTGTTGTCAGTTATGTTACGTTGATTATCTTCTCCATGGCCCAAAAATATATATTTTTTTATAAATTTGTATTTTATAATTATATATGGATTATCTATTTTATTTATCGGCTAAAATGTGTACAAAAATTTATTATCATTTATTAAAAAAAACAACAATTTGCCAATTGTTATTCTTATCATCCAAAAAGAAAAATTCCCCCCGACGAATTTAGCGATACACTGGTTAGCTATAAATACGGAAATCCAAAATAATCCGCAATAGTTTATTTTCAAAGTTGAACGAAGAAAGTTAACTTAAGAAAAATGAAAATTACTTTGATTGCTTTAATTGCAGGCTTATGCCTGGTGGCTGTTAATGTAAGTCCTGATATTTCTGTATCATCGCACATTTTTACTGAAATAATATAATTGTCTTTTTAAAAATTACAGGCCAGTGTGGTAGTACCCGCTCCCATGGAGGATATCGATTTCGAATACATTGCCAATGATGTTGCCGATGATGTTATTGATATTGAAACCCAAGTCTCTTGGTTCGGTATTTACTTTGTCATCCACAAAGCGTTGACCATGTTGAAGGGTGTCAATTGTACCATCAAGGAGGTTTTCGCTATCCGCGATGCTGCCCAAAAGTTCCTCAATGATGTTCAAGCCTGCGGTGGTGAGGTCTCCAAGAAATTGCAAAATTTAATTGACACCTGCAAGAGCATTGTGTCCACGGCCAATGATATCATTCATGTTGATGAGAATATTTGCGGAAATACACCCGTCGATGATGTTCAAGGTACCGACGATGATAGTGATGTTGCCACCAACCCTATGGGTAACAAGACTGGTTGGAATTGTTTCTGGAAATTGTTGTTCAAGACAATGAAGCTGAAGAATGAAGTTAAACATGCCATCTATTTGATTAAACATTTGCCCGCCGTTCCCGGTGAAGCTGGTGATTGTGTCAATACTGCTGCTCAGGATTTGGCCAGTGTTTTCAATCAATTCCCAAGCAATGTGAAAACTTGCTCGAAGTTGGTTAGCAAGAAATAAATTTGGAACGAAATTCGAGAATGAAATGAATAAATGAAAGTGATTTGAAGTTAAAAAATAATTACAAAAGTTTTTATTTGCTATTTTGATGTATGTTTATGGACTTCTAATTGGGCGCCATTTTATTTATACCTTCAAAATACCTAATCTCGTTATTTTGATGTATATTTATGGATTTTTAATTGGGCGCCATTTTATATATACTCTCAAAATACCTATAATCGATCAGGACCTTTATACATTTGCTATTTCATGATAAATTGCTGTCAGGATAAATCGAAATATAAAGTACAGACTCTTTGGTTGGACAATTGGACTACGACATTGAACATTTCGAAATCTTCAAAGTACCGTCATGTGGAGTTTACATAAAAACAAGGATTGATATTAATAATTTTTGGCAGGACGATTTTACACCCAATAAGAACCCATAATATCAAATTAGAGACATGTTCGTTGAAAAACGTCTCCAGAATTAGCTTCGTTTTGGGATACCCTTATTATCCTGCATTTTCAGCACTAATTTGTTTTTTTTTTTTACCAAAAATTGTGTATCAGTATCGGTCCATGTTTTGTATAGACTCCATTACGATGTTGCTGTAATTTGGTAGTCCTGGAACTTCGTGGGTAAAAAACATCTAGGCAGAGAATATTTTCAATATCGATCTATGTTTCTACATAGCCCCAATTTATATATGTTAAGTTTTAAAATTTGTAATAGAAAAAAATATTTTTTTAAACGTTGCCTAAATGGCGCCCAACGTGGAACACTGTGTTGTGTATTCATTATTTTATTTTATTGTATAACGTCGAATAAATGTGTTTTCTGACCTATGAAATAATTTAAAATTTAATTTATTGTAATATCAAAAAATTAAATAAAATGGCGCCCAACTAAAAATGTATGTATTTTTTTTTCAATGTAAATTACTTTCTGTAATTTTTTTTTAATTCCGTTTTTAAATTTAGTGCTTGCCAATCATATGAGAAAAATGTTATTTTCCTAAGTGGCGCCCAACGTGGGACACTACGCAACGTCGCACATGTGTCTTTTCCCCCAAATAAAATAATTTCTCACAAATAAAATGGCGCCCAACTAAAAATGTTGGTAGATATTTTTTTCAAATTCATTTTTTTTTCGTTTTATTTTAATGTTCAAATTCCATTTTAATGTTAGTTCTTGCCAATCATATGGGCACAAGTGTTAACATTGCTGGGGAATTGATTGAAAACATTGGACAAATTTTGGGCAGCTGTATTAACACAATCACCAGCTTCACCGGGAACTGAGGGCAAATGTTTAATCAAATAGATGGCGTGTTTCACTTGATGCTGCAATTTCATTGTCGTGTACAACAGCTTTCAGAAACAATTCCAACTAGTCTTGGTAATCAAAGTCGCAGTGGCAACATCGCCATTACCAGTATCTTCAACGGGGACAACGGTGGTAGCATCATCAATGGGTTTGTTACCGCAAACCGTTTCATCAACATTGATGATAGCATTGGCCGTGGACAAAATATTCTTGCAGGTAGTGATTAAATTTTGCAATTGCTTTGAGGCCTCACCACCGCAGGCTTCAACATCGCTGACGAACTTTTGGGCAGCATCGCGAATAGCGAAAACTTCCTTCACGGTATATTTGACACCCTTTGAGGCAACCAATGCTTTGTGGATGACAAAGTAAATACCGAACCAAGAGACCTGGGTCTCAATATCCATAACATCATCGGCCATGTCATTGGGTAGCGGGTACTAGCACATTGGCCTGAAAAACACAAACAATAAAGCAATGGGATTTTTATTTTAGTAAAAAGGAGAGAGGATGCAAGAATATTTGGACTTACATTAACAGCCACCAGGCATATGCCGGCCAAAACGAAAATCCAAGTAATTTTCATTTTCCTTTAACGTTCTTCGTTATTCTTCAAAAAAAAAAAAAAAAAAAAATAAATAAATAATAAACTATATTGAAATATTTTGGATTTGCGTATTTATAGCTAACCAGAATATCGAACAAAATTTGTGGATGAATTACTTTTTTTTTTGAATGATGAGATTTAATATTTTTCGAGTGTTTTTCAAAAAAAGTGATAATTAATGTTTGTGATACGTTTTCGAGTAGATTAATACAAGATAATCTCTTCCATCAGATATAAAAGTCGAATTTGGAGGTCAGATTTTGCAATAACACTATGCCAAAAATGGAACTCATGGTCTGAGTGGTGGAAAATTTCATATAGGGATGAAAGCCCTTGGCAAGTATATGAAGAACCCATATTCGCCATACGTCAGGCGATTTTTATTTTCTTTCCGTCTAAATGATCGGATGTTTATTTCATAATAAAGAGGAAGGTATATCCTTGGTAATGAAACAGCAAAAATGGTTCGGCAAACACATTTTCAGAACCATAAACCTCATAAAATATTCCAAAAACTAATAGGGAAAGAACCTAGATCACGAATGTTGATCTCAAAAACAGCAACACAATGGCCACCAACACAATTTAACACCATAAACCTCATAAAATATTCAATACCAAAAAATATAGGCAAAGAAACTATCGATAACATGTTATCGATAGTTTCACGGCTTCTATATTTTAGGTATTGAATTGACTCTGGACCGTTGTTGTAGACCCAAGGAAGGAATTTCTATGGTGTTAAATTAAAGACCTCGGTGGCTAATTGTGTTAATGTAAACTTTTTTCAGATCAACATTCGTGATCTAACTTTTGCCGCAAGTATCGAAGACTCCTGAGTAATTACTCCTCTCCAACATGAAAAACTATACAGCTGCAGGTAATCAGCATGGTTCCGTAAGCAACGTAATACAAAAGAAGCGTTGCACGTCATCTCTACATATATAAGTCGACGACAGGAGCAGGACGTGACATAGAAAAGTGTTGTTATAAAAGTCATTTATACCGTTAAACAAGCCCTACCGTTTAAGGCTACCGAGAACACTTCTTTCCGACCATGTTTGAAACGTTGGATAATCAATTATATGTTTGCAATCCAGTCGTATCTGGAGTTCTGGAATAATAAATCCAAACCCCGTTGGGTGACGGAAGGCGGCCAGGTGGCATTGAGATCGTGATCTATGCAGATGATTGAGCAATCATGGCATCGGATTCTCTTGTTGAGGACATCTATACCGTCGATAGGAGGAATATTAAAATAAATCTTCGATCTTTATACCCTTCACCACACTGTGGTACAGGTATTATGTCTTTGTGCATATGTTTGTAACAGGCATGGTTCCTTTTGAGAATATGCATAGAATCACTTTCTGAGTCGTCCGTCCGTCTGTCTGTCCATGTTAAATTGTAAACAAAGTACAGGTCGCATTTTTGATTCGAATTGGATGAAATTTGGCACAGCTCATTTATTTGGCCCAAGGACGAACCCTATTGAAAAAATCGGTTCAGATTTAGATATAGCTCCCATATATATTTTCGAATTTAGTCTAGAAGGATGTGTGTTTAATTTCGTAAAAATCGGTTCGGATTTGGATATAGCTCCCATATATATTTTCGTCCGATTTTAGGTAAGTAGTGCATCAAAGTCCCTAAATATGCTTCGATTTGCACGAAATTTGGCATAGCGTACTGAATTAAGTCTAGAAAGATGTATGCTTAAATTCGTAAAAATGGGTTCAAATTTAGATATAGCTCCCATATATATTTTCGTCCGATTTTAGGTAAGTAGTGCATCAATGTCCCTATAAATCTTTCGATTTGCACGAAATTTGGCACAGCATACTGAAATAAGTCTAGAAAGATGTGTGTTAAATTTAGTAAAAATCGGTTCAGATTTAGATATAGCACCCATATATATTTTCGTCCGATTTTAGGTAAATGGTGCACCAAAGTCCCTATAAATCTTTCGATTTGCACGATGTTTGGTATAGCGTACTGAATTAAGTCTAGAGAGATGCGTGTTAAATTTGGTCAAAATCGGTTCAGATTTAGATATAGCTCCCATATATATTTTCGTCCGATTTTATGTAAATGGTTCACCAAAGTCCCTATATATCAGGGTTAACCAACCACCACATATGCATTGGCTTTGATTGTGTTTGTCTCACAGACAAGGCCCGTGGTGATCAAGCGACAACACAACCTCCTTCATCAATTGCTCATACGAGACTATTCTGTTGGCTCGTTGTTTGTAAACAAGCAACCACTTGGTGGTGGAATTAGAGTGGTGAACGGTCGTTTATTCAACAAAACTATGATTGTATGCAGTGTTACCGTTGGGAATTTTAAAAAAGTTGCACAAAAAGTCGTTCCCTTGAAAAAAAGTCGCACAGATAAGTAAAATCGTCAATAAAACTTTTCCTGGAATATGTCAGATTCCCTTGGACCTCAAAAACAAAGTAGACGAATGAAAACAAGTTTGAATTTACACATAAAAAGGAAAATAAAACTTAAGAAGAACAGGAAAGAAAAGTCGCACAAAGTTGAAAAAAGTTGCAAACAGAGTTACAGAGCATCAAAAAGGTTGCAAATTGCGACTTTAGTCGCACAACGGTAACCCTGATTGTATGAGTGCACACAGAAAGCGCCCGCGGGCGGTGTGGTGGTGATAGGTGCTATATATACTTCGATTTGCACGAAATTTGGATTTATAAGTAAATGAAGAACTCAAAATGTAGCCGAATGCACAAAAAATATATAGAGATAAATGTAACCTAACATGTGACATGTTTCGATGAAATCGGTTTAGATTTCGATATTTTGCTTTAAATTTATTTACATAATTTTGTCCCATTGTAAGAAGCAACTCTATATCAGACCAAAGATTAGTATAGGTTGCAGAATGACATGTTTAATTTCATGTTAATGGTCCTTCAAAAATGCGACGTCTGTTAGGATTCCATCTGTTGAATATACCCAAAGTGGTCTAGAAGGGTATCTTATAGTCGGCCCCGTTCGACTTTTCTACTTTCCTTACTGGTTTTTGTTTACCACATGTACTGATGAGATAAAAATTCCATTGTATGGGAAGGCCCTGGAGGAATTTAATTTCGACCACTAACTATCCCAAAATTCTTGGGGTAACATTTGTTTGCTTTTTTTAATTGTTCGTACAAAATATAGCTCTCTACTATAAGACAAACAGTACGAACAACGACCTCTGGGATTAGACAATATAGTAGTAACGAGGACCTCATGTCGCTTGCTGGCAGAACTTGCGACGAAGATAAGCAATCATTGTTGATAAAGCGAGAGGTCGGCCTTTGGCCAGCTATGCGGTGCCAGTGTGATCCGCGAATTTTAGTGCTAAGCAATAGGGAAATATTCAGACCTGTCAGAACTCCGCCTCAAGAACAGCAAGAGGGTGTCTCCATACAATACCGATGGACCATATACATGAGGAGTGTAACATCATATTTTTGTTGCAGTACCAACTTGGGTGCTTCACAGAGAATCATCCTAACAATCACAGAAGGTCGGAATGCCTCAGAAAGAATCATTCGACATATAACATTGTGATAAGACCTCCTCCACAAAGCGTGTCAGGAATTATCTGCGTGATCTATATAAAGAGACGTTCAACCATATAAATAGGATCCTCTGCATTACGAAGCATATCAAGCAGGTCTGAATTACATTCACACCGATGCAATTGGCGACGTATTAAGCAAATGCCGTCCTTGGAGTTCTTACCCCAGTCAAGAGCGTCAGCTACCCACTATGGTGCGGTCATTTAAGTTCATATATGACACGAATTGATGACAATGTGCAGAATGCCCGCCCATCAAGTGATATAGGCCAACTACCACCTACACTTATTCAATTATCCCCGCCTCCTGAATATCTGTGGCTGCAGCAGTAGAAGTAGGTGTACTTCTTAATTTGAAGACCAAGCCAGAACCTGGATGAATAGAACAGGAACAAAAAATCATAGAATATTTGGTATTGAAAATGGAATATATCGGTACATGTTTTGATATAACCCCCGTATAACGTTACCCCGAATATTCTGTATTTTGAGGTTTTCAGGCATATTTCCTAACCGAATTGGTTAGGTTTTAGATTTTCATTAGGTACAAAATCTTCCTACCAAGAATTATAAATATGTGTGCCCTCTTGAATATATTAGGCACATATTTAAAACGAATTGGTACAATTTTGATATTCTGAGTTTTCATTTGGTATGAAATCTAAATCTTCTAAATCTTCCAAAATAACGAATATCGTACGATCTTGGAATATAGCCCACTAATGCAGCTCCTTTATTATGACAAATTTATATTTTTTGAGCATAATTTTTTTAAATAACACAATAACCGACCACTTTATGAAATGGCGCCCAACATAATCAAACAAATAAGAAATTAGGTCTTTATACCCTTCTCCACACTGAGATACAGGGTATTATGTCTTTGTGCATATGTTTGTAACTTTCTGAGTCGATTTACGCATGTCCGTCTGTCCGTCTGTCCGCCCGTCCATGTATTTTTGTGAACAAAGTACATGTTGCATTTATGATCCTATTTAGATTTCCTTACTGGTTTTCATGTAATTTATTTTATTCATAAAATTATTTTTCTTTAATAGCATAATAATAGTGCTCTTTATGAAATGGCGCCCAACATAAACAAAATAAATAAATAAAAATCTTGCTTTTGGGTAACATTTATGTTTTCTGAGCACACTTTTTTGTAATAGCACAATAAATGTTCTTCTAATGAAATGGCGCCCAACGTAACGAACCAAATAAAAAATCAAAATCGTTTTCCATTTCAAATCATTTATTTCAGTGCAAAACTCATTTTATTATTTTCACTTAATTGCTAACCAATTTCGAGCACTCCACAACGCGGTTGGGGAATTGAGTGAAGTAGTTGGACAAAGTGTTGGCAGCATCAGTGACACATTCACCAGTGGCACCGGGTACCGATGGAATTTGTTTAATCAAATAGATGGCATGTTTAATTTGATTCTTCAACTTCAAAGTCTTGAACAACAGTTTCCAGAAACAATTCCAGTCGGTCTTGCTGATCATAGTCGTGGCAGCAACATCTTTGCTTCCATCGGTACTATCGGTGGTGGTATCGCTGTCAGTGTTACCGCAAATATTTTCATTAACATGGATGATATCATTGGCCGAGGAAATAATATTATTGACGGCATCAATTAAATTTTGAAGTTTTTGCGATACTTCACCACCACATGCATGAATGTCACTGAGGAATTTAAGGGCAGCACCACGAATGCCAATCACCTCTTTGATGGTACAATTGACACCCTTCACTGTGGTCAAAACTTTGTGAATGACAAAGTACAAACCGGCCCAGGATTGAGTATCAACGTCCATAACATCATCGGCTATATCATTGGCAATATATTCGAAATCGATTTCATCCAAGGGCGAGGGAATTTCCATCACACTGGCCTGGGGGGACAAGAAAAGGAGAAAATCCATTAAGATTATGTGGGAAAGGTTTCTTGTTTCTACTTACATTAACTGCCACCAGGCTGAGGCCGGCCAACAAAGCAATCAAAGCAATTTTCATTTTGTCAATGTTTCACTTGGCAACTGCAAAAAGTGAATACACGGAATTGGTTTTGAGTTTCAATATTTATAGAAAAGAAATCATGGTCCCCCATTAAAAATATTTGTAACATATTTGGATGATTTTGCTATTGTTATTTATTTTTTATCTCTGATAAGAATAAGCAAAATAATGCTAAAAATTTTACACCACCTATCCGAAAATGATAACCCACCTTTGCCACCTATTGTTTTTCTAAGAAATCCAAGAGATAATCCATATTTCGGTAGTATAGATATTATTATTTTTTTATGAAACGAAGATAACCGATATTATTACAACAATAACTGTTTAATAGGTTGAATCGAAATTTATCACTAGTTTGGGGGGAAACAAATAATAAACAAGTAAAAGCTCTCAGTCGATGTTATCGATTGATATATAAACTCAGCCAATGGTTTGCGGTGGTCTGCGGAATAATACACTGATTTTATTATTCGTTGTATAAAATCTATAGCACCAGTCTTATGCCTAATGCCGGTGTATAAACTACAGCAAAATTGTACCTCATCGAAGTATTGGTTTTAGACGCCATGTTTCTTTGGACCTCATCCGTGTCTGACAAATTAAAGTCGATTTACAAATGTCTATGCCTCCATCTGGCTGGCTGGTGGGCACGATAACTATCGAAGTGAGTAACTTTGCCCATCGTAATATTTATTCCAAACTGAAATAAAGTTCAAAGTTCGGTCTACTCCTTCTGGTACCTCCCACACAAAATGTTCAAAAATTTGCTGTAACAAATATTTCTTCCAAGGAGTACCAATTCTAGGATGATTTATGCATTTCCGTCCGTCCGTTTGTTTGTACATGTTAAATTGTAAACAAAGTACAGGTCACATTTACAATCCGAATTGGATGGAATTTGGCACTACTCATTTATGTGGCACAAGGATGGATACTATTGAAATTGGCAAAAATCGGTTCAGATTTATATTTATAGTTACCATATATATTAGGTTGGGGAAAAAGAAATCCATTATTTTTATATGAACTACAGGACTTTATTGACATGCTTCGGAATGTCTGATTTGCACCAAATATGCACCGTTTTGTTGTATAATTTGATGCCATTTTAAAGGTAACTTCATAATGACTCTCTCATAGAAGTCCTGCTCTCTATTTGCAAAAAAAAAAAAAAAAACTCTAGTAGTCGATTTTCACAATCCTCCCAAGTTACCAATTTTTTGTCATTAAAGAAAAAGATGATAATCGCTTAGTGCTAAGTCCGGACTGTATGGCGGATGCATTAAAACTTCCCAACTAAGCTCCCGAAGTTTCTGGCGAGTCACTGTAAATGTGTGTGGCCTATCGTTGTCCGGTTGGAACACAACACCTCTCCTGTTGGACAATTCTGGCCGTTTCTGGTCAATTGCTAACTTCAAACGATCAAAATATATAATCCCCTTCCAGTTCCATCAAATACATAGCAGAACGTTCCTGGTTGTTAGTTCTGATTTGGCCACCGTTTGAGGTGTCGCTCTTTGACCACGATCGTTTTCGCAAAGTGTTATCGATCCATTCTTATATCCAGTCACCATCCGCTTAAGAAATAGGTCTATCTCATTCCGTTTGGCCAAGGCTTCGCAGATGAAAATTCGATCCATCCTATTTTTTCTGTTAATTGGTGTAACACCCAAACACCGAGCTACTTTTTGAATCCAGCATTGAGTAAGGTTTAAACAGTTTTATGGCCGATTTTTTGCTTCTAGTGTATGTTACGACTGCTAACATATTTTCGTCCGATTTTATGTAAATGGAGCAAAAAAGTCCCTATATATCATACGATTTTCACGAAATTTGGCACAGTGTACTGAATGAAGTCTAGAATGATATGTGAAATGTTTCGTGAAAATCGTTTCTGATTTAGATATAGCTCCCTTATATATTTTCTTTCTATTTAATGTAAATAGTGCAAAAAAGTCCCTATATACCTCTCGATTTGCACGAAATTTGGCATAGCGTACTGAATTAAGGCTAGCATAATGTGTACTAAGTTTCGTGAAAATCGTTTCAGATTTAGATATAGCTCCCATATATATGTTCTTCCGATTTTATTTAAACTGTGCACAAAACACCCAAAGTTTGTCCGATTGGCACTTAATTTTGTACAATGTGCTGAAGTTAATATAAATTAATCTGGCTTGTTACAGAACGGTTGTTCCATAAGCCGAGCTTAAAAAATTTTTCCAAGCGCGTCGGTCTTGTGCGCAAGTCCACCACTTTGGAAGACCACGTTCCAAGATGTTGTTTTCTACTTGGTCTTTCCATCTAATTCGTGGCCTTCCCCTTCTACGGGAACCATCAGTAGGCTCATTTTTATATGCCTTTTGAGCTGAGGCATTTTCATTCATCCGCACAACATGGCCTAGCCACCGTAGTCGCTGCAGCTCAATACGACTGACTATGTCGATGTCCGCGTATAAATTGTAAAGTTCGTGGTTCATTCGACTCCGATATTCACCGTCGACGCAGCTCAGCCCGTAGATCTTTCGGAGAATTTTTCTGTCAAACACCCCAAGAGCTGCCTCATCTGCTTGCGCAAGTACACATGCTTCTGATCCATATAATAGCACGGGTAGTTTCAGCGTCTTGTAAAGTGTGAGTTTGGTCTGGCGGGAGGTAGCCTTGTTTCTAAACTGCTTACTTAGATCATAGTAGCATCTGTTGGCCATCACAATCCTTCTCCGAATTTCAAAACTAATGTCATTTGTTTTATTTATGGCGGTACCAAGGTATATAAAGTCTTTAACTACCTCGAAGCTGTAGTTCTCAAGTTCCACAGTTGGTCCGAGTCTACTGGACGTCTTGTGCGTTGATACCATCAGCTTTGTCTTCTAGCCGTTTACTGCCAGACCCACTTTGGCAGACTCCTTTTCAATTTGTTCAAAGGTGGTTGTTACCGCTCGCAATGTTCGACCCATTATATCGATGTCATCGGCGTAGGCGAGTAACATGTGTACAGAGTGCCATTTCTGTTCACCTTTGCGTCTCGTATGACCTTTTCCAGTAGGATGTTAAAAAGATCACACGACAAACTGTCACCTTGTCTGAATCCTCGTTCGGTATTGAAGGACTCCGATAGGTCCTTTCCTACTTTAACTACTGACCTTGTGCCACTTAAAGTTATCCTGCATAGCCGTATTAATTTTGCAGGAATGCCGAACGCAGACATGGGTTTAAACACATCTGAACGGATAGGGCTATCGAATGCGGCTTTATAGTCGGCGAATAGGTGGTATGTGTCGTTGTGTTTTTCGTGGGTCATTTCCAGAATTTGGAGCAGAGTAAAAATCTGGTCAGTGGTGGATTTGCCAGGTCTGAAACCGCATTGGTATGGTCCGATGATGTCATTGACCATTGGCTTCAATCGTTCACACAGCACACTGGATAGCACTTTATATGCGATGGGAAGGAGACTTATTCCTCTATAGTTGGCACATATCGTCTTGTCTCCTTTTTTGTGCACGAGACACAGGATGCTGAGGTTCCAATCATTGGACATGCATTCATCTAGCCAAATTGTGCTAATCAGCTGGTGCATGCTCCTGACCAGCATTTGGCCACCAGTCTTAAATAGTTCGGCTGGTAACCCATCGGCTCCTGCTGCTTTGTTGTTATTGAGTCGACTAATTGATTTTATGACCTCATCTTGGCTAGGTGGTATACACTCTATACCATCATCTCTTATTGGTTCTGGGGTATCTTCTTTATCGCCACTATTTAATACTAGAAGCTTTTCGAAATACTCCTTCCAGATCCTCAACACGCTGTCTGTATCTGTCACCTGGTTTCCTTCTTCATCTCTACAGGAGGATGTGCCTGCACCAAAGCCTTCGGTTTGGTGTTTTACTCGTTGGTAAAATTTCCGGACTTCATTCTGACTCCTGTACATCTCGATTTGCTCACGCTCACGTTTTTCTTGTTCTATATATAACTTGCATATATATTTTCGTTCGATTTAAGGAAAATTGTGCACCAAACTCCTAATGTTTGTCCGATTGACACGACATTTTGAACAACGTATTAAATTGAGACTAGAATGATGTTATTGCGTTTTTTTTTTTTTTGAAATTTGTGCAGATGCAGTCATAGCTTCCGTATATATTTTCGACCGACTTCATGTTAATTGTGCACCAAATAATCAAGTTGTGTCTGATGATACATTTTTCTCGAGGACCATTATAGGCGTGACATTTTAAGAAACCTTTTTTCAAACATAATTAGAGGCATGGAGGCAAGACATGAATTTTCAAAGGAAACTCTCATAATGTTTATATATTTTTTATTTTGTTTTATTAATATATGATATACACATACATAAATTAAACATATAACAAATAACAAAAATTATTATTATTATTAAAGAGTACAAGTAAAAAACTTCGTTCGAATAAACAAATATGAAAATTTTGCCAAAAAAGGTTTAAAAAATATTTGAGCATATTTTTCACTTTTTTCTTTTTCATAAATATAAAACAGCACCCTGTTTTCTTGATACGTGATATAAAATAGCAATGGGAATGACCTTAATGTACTAAATATTTATAAATGAACTTGATATTGCACCAAAATGTAAAAAAAACGTACAAGAAAAAGGTCAACAGACCCTTGCTGTGATCATTTTCTTGTATATATAAATTTACACAAATATATATTGTTGTTAGTATTTTTAGTTTATCTTCTTCTTAGTTTTAAAACAAATTACAATCGTTAAAATATATATAATAATTATGTTAAGTTTTTAATTTTAACTATTTCAAATAAATTACATTACTCTCTTTTTTATTTCTATTTTTTTAAATGGGGAACAAAAATAATGAAATGAATTAAAACAAAAAATGATAATTAAAATTAAAATGCATTAAAAATTCTTTAAATAATAAAATATAAAAATAATAACAGTTTTAGTTTTTTATAAAATTCAGTTAACCAATTTCAGTTTTCCATTATTTAAAATAGCCTAATAAATAATTGCCTCTCTTTTAGGAGGAGTTAATAAGCTGGCCACTCTCCCACTTTCCCTCTCAGCCTGCCTTAAATTAAACTCAGTCTGCTATTGGTTTTTCTCAATTGAGCACGCCATGGTATAATATTTTCATTATCTTCATCATCATGTTGTTGTTGTTGCGTTTGCTGTTGTTGTTGCTGCTGAGATTCGCTGTTATTTTGCTGAGAATTATCTCCATTCATAGTTTTACCATTTTCTCCGCTATGACCATTTTGTGAGTAACCATAACCATTAGTGGTGTTCTCCTTATTAATGTGGCTGGAAACAATTTCGGTGGCACAGGAAACCATGGAAATATTATCAATGGACATGGCCCGATTCTTAAGACGCCATGTATCGGCCACACGATTGTTCTCTTCTACTTTAGGAGTGTAAACTGCAGCTCTGGGGATGAAATGGGGGAGAAAAATTATATTAGAAAACAAGTCGATCATAAACACAATAAAACAAAATGGCGCCCAACGTGGGAACATAATTTTGCAGTATTGAATATTTTTTCAAGGACCTGAAAAGCCGTGGATTTTTTAAAGAATATTTTTTTCAAGGACCAGGCAAGGCGTGGATTTTTTAAAGAATATTTTTTCAAGGACCAGGCAAGGCGTGGATTTTTTAAAGAATATTTTTTTTCAAGGACCAGGCAAGGCGTGGATTTTTTAAAGAATATTTTTTTCAAGGACCAGGCAAGGCGTGGATTTTTTAAAGAATATTTTTTTTGAAGACCAGGCAAGGCGTGGATTTTTTAAAGAATATTTTTTTTGAAGGACCAGGCAAGGCGTGGATTTTTTAAAGAATATTTTTTTTGAAGACCAGGCAAGGCGTGGATTTTTTAAAGAATATTTTTTTCAAGGACCAGGCAAGGCGTGGATTTTTTAAAGAATAATTTTTCAAGGACCAGGCAAGGCGTGGATTTTTTAAAGAATATTTGTTTCAAGGACCAGGCAAGGCGTGGATTTTTTAAAGAATATTTTTTTTCAAGGACCAGGCAAGGCGTGCATTTTTTAAAGAATATTTTTTTTTCAAGGACCAGGCAAGGCGTGGATTTTTTAAAGAATATTTTTTTCAAGGACCAGGCAAGGCGTGGATTTTTTAAAGAATATTTTTTTCAAGGACCAGGCAAGGCGTGGATTTTTTAAAGAATATTTTTTTCAAGGACCAGGCAAGGCGTGGATTTTTTAAAGAATATTTTTTTCAAGGACCAGGCAAGGCGTGGATTTTTTAAAGAATATTTTTTTCAAGGACCAGGCAAGGCGTGGATTTTTTAAAGAATATTTTTTTCAAGGACCAGGCAAGGCGTGGATTTTTTAAAGAATATTTTTTTCAAGGACCAGGCAAGGCGTGGATTTTTTAAAGAATATTTTTTTCAAGGACCAGGCAAGGCGTGGATTTTTTAAAGAATATTTTTTTCAAGGACCAGGCAAGGCGTGGATTTTTTAAAGAATATTTTTTTCAAGGACCAGGCAAGGCGTGGATTTTTTAAAGAATATTTTTTTCAAGGACCAGGCAAGGCGTGGATTTTTTAAAGAATATTTTTTTCAAGGACCAGGCAAGGCGTGGATTTTTTAAAGAAGAAGGCAAGGCGTTTTTTTAAAGAATATTTTTTTCAAGGACCAGGCAAGGCGTGGATTTTTTAAAGAATATTTTTTTCAAGGACCAGGCAAGGCGTGGATTTTTTAAAGAATATTTTTTTCAAGGACCAGGCAAGGCGTGGATTTTTTAAAGAATATTTTTTTCAAGGACCAGGCAAGGCGTGGATTTTTTAAAGAATATTTTTTTCAAGGACCAGGCAAGGCGTGGATTTTTTAAAGAATATTTTTTTCAAGGACCAGGCAAGGCGTGGATTTTTTAAAGAATATTTTTTTCAAGGACCAGGCAAGGCGTGGATTTTTTAAAGAATATTTTTTTCAAGGACCAGGCAAGGCGTGGATTTTTTAAAGAATATTTTTTTCAAGGACCAGGCAAGGCGTGGATTTTTTAAAGAATATTTTTTTCAAGGACCAGGCAAGGCGTGGATTTTTTAAAGAATATTTTTTTCAAGGACCAGGCAAGGCGTGGACTTTTCAAAGAATATTTTTTTCAAGGATCAAGCAAGGAGAGGATTTTTTAAAGAATATTTTTTTCAAGAACCAGGCAAGGCGTGGATTTTTTAAAGAATATTTTTTTCAAGGACCAGGCAAGGCGTGGATTTTTTAAAGAATATTTTTTTTCAAGGACCAGGCAAGGCGTGGATTTTTTAAAGAATATTTTTTTCAAGGACCAGGCAAGGATAGGATTTTCAAAGAATATTTTTTCAAGGACCAGACAAGGATAGGATTTTCAAAAAATATTTTTTCAAGGACCAGACAAGGATAGGATTTTCAAAGAATATTTTTTCAAAGATCAGGCAAGGTGTGGACTTTTCAAAGAATATTTTTTTCAAGGATCAAGCAAGGAGAGGATTTTTCAAAGAACATTTTTTCAAGGACCAGACAAGGAGAAGATTTTTCAAAGAACATTTTTTCAAGGACCAGACAAGGAGAGGACTTTTCAAAGAATAATTTTTCATGGACCAGATAAGGCGTGGATTTTGTAAAGAATATTATTCAAGGACTAGTAGAGGTATGAATTTTTGTTTGTAACAAAAATAGTTTTTCAAGGACTATTACAGGAGTGGGTTTAAAAAAATACTTTTTTTCAAGGTATGGTTTTTATAAAAATATTTTTCTTTCGATGAGTTGTGGTTTTATCACAGGTTTATAAAATGGGTTTTTTAAAAAATGGGTTTATTCGCGGACTATAACTGGCGTGGTTTAATAAAAAGGGGTTTCTCGCGGACTATCACAGGCGTGGTTTTATAAAAAGGGCTTTTTTAGGGGAAGACCAGAGGCGGGGTTTTATAAAAAGGCTTTTTTCGGGGATGACCACAGGCGTGGTTTTATAAAAAGGCTTTTTTGGGGGAGACCACAGGCGGGGTTTTATAAAAAGGCTTTTTTCGGGGATGACCACAGACGTGGTTTTATAAAAAGGCTTTTTTTCGAGGAAGACCACAGGCGAAGTTTTATAAAAAGGTTTTTTTTCGGGGAAGACCACAGGCGTAGTTTTATAAAAAGGTTTTTTTCGGGGAAGACCACAGGCGTAGTTTTATAAAAAGGCTTTTTTCGGGGAAGACCACAGGGGGGATTTATAAAAAGGGGTTTTTCGGGGACTATCACAGGTGTTGATTTTATAATTTTTTTTTGAAGGACAGTTACAGGTTTGATTATTATAAAAAGTGGTTTTCTGGGACAGGTGTTGATTTTATATATTTTATGATTTTTTTCAGGGATTGTTACAGGTTTGATTATTATATAAATAATTTTCTCAAGGACTATTACAGAATTGTTTCATATATAAATTATTTTCTCAAGGATTATTTTCACAGGCGCATTTAAAAAATCTATAATTTTTAATTGGGCGCCATTTTGAAAAATGAAAATTTTAAATTTGTTTTTCGATAAAAAAATTTCCAACTCACTTTAATTTATTTTCCGTTTCTTCGCGACGTGCCAACAAATCACGTTTCCATTGTGGTATCTGAGAGAGTCGACGATTTTCCGCCTCCTTTGCCATGCGTTCTTCAAATTCTTTCTTAGCCTTCTCGGCTGCCTTTTTAGCCATCATTTGCCGCTTCCAATCGGGTATAATATTACCGGCTGGATCTTTCTCCGGTATCTGTAAATAAATCTTAGACAATTTATGAAGTTTCTGTCAAATGTGGAGGGGGTGCAAAAATACTCTACTCACTTGATCAACATAATTGCTGGCCGTAAATTGTTTTGTTATTTCCGAATAATGTTCCGAATCGAAACGATTGGCCATTTGTTTTTCCACTTTCATTTTTTTAATGCCCGGTATATCTTTGGAGATTTTTAATTCGGCAATAAGATCCGTTTTCAAATAGGTATCGTTTGTCGACGAGAGGCACTGCATGCTGAGACTGCGGGCAGGCATTTGATAGGGTTTGGGTACTTTTTGTGTATCGGTGCGACGAAGCTGTGGGGGTTAGGGGAATGAGTGATTAGATTTGGGGTTTATTCGAGAGATTTGATTGAGCCTTACCTGTACACTATTTAAGTCTTGTATAGATATCGCTGACAATGGCTGATGCTGTTTTCTTGTTGTCGTATCCTGATGATGGGAATTTTGCGACTGTAGACTTATCGATTTACCGTTGTTGTGACGATCGTTGTTATTAATCGTATTGTGTTGTGGCAATGGTGTCATTGGCAATGGCGGTGGTGGTGGCGGTTTTGGTGGATCAAATGCTACAGGATGCTGATTTGACACCTGTATATGCATATAGTCTTCTGAATCCGTAGACCTGTAAGAGGATATGTGGATTATTTTAATGTATTTTTTTAAGTATTCAAAGGACAATGACAGGGTTGGATTTTTAAAATGTTTTTTTAATGACTATAAGAGGCGTGGATTAAAAAGGAGGATTTATTATTATTATTAAAAATTAAAAACAACTTTATGGAGGTTTATTACAGTCATGTATTTTTTTATTTATTTTTCGAGGACTTTATAAAACCAATAAGGAAAGTAGTAAAGTCGGACGGGGCCGACTATATGATACCCTTTACCACTTTGGGTATATTCAACAGATGGGATCCTAACGAACGTCGCATTTTTTAAGGACCATTAACATGAAATTAAACATGTAATTACTAAATTTTGTTCAGATATAGAGTTGCTTCTTACAATGGGACAAAATTATGTAAATAATAATGTATAATAAAGCAAAATGTCGAAATCTAAACAGATTTCATCGAAACTTGTCACATGTTCGGCCACATTTTGAGTTCTTCATTTACTTATAACTCCAAATTTCGTGCAAATGGAAGGATATATAGAGACTTTGGTGCACCATTTACATAAAAACTGACGGAAATATATATAGGAGCTATATCTAAATCTGAACCGAATTTCACGAAATTTAAAACACATCGTTCTAGACTTAATTCAGAACGCAATGCCAAATTTCGTGCAAATCGAAGAATATATCGGGACTTTGGTGCACCATGTACACAAAATCGGACGAAAATATATATGGCAGCTATATTTAAATCTGAACCGATTTTCACGAAATTTAACACACATCTTTCTAGACTTAATCCAGTACGCTATGCCAAATTTCGTGCAACTCGAAGGATATATAGGGACTTTGGAGCACTATTTACCTAAAATCGGACGAAAATATATATGGGAGCTATATCTAAATCTGAACCGTTTTTCACAAAATGTGTGCCAAATTTCGTGCATTTCGTGCTGTGCCAAATTTCGTGCATATCGAAGGATATATAGGGACTTTTGTCACTATTACCTAAAATCGGACGAAAGTATATATGGGAGCTATATCTAAATCTGAACCGATTTTCACGAAATTTAACACACATCGTTCTAGCCTTAATTCAGAATGCTATGCCAAATTTCGTGGAAATCGAAGGATATATAGGGAGTTTGGTGCACTATTTACCTAAAGTCGGACGAAAATATATCTGAGAGCTATATCTAAATCTGAACCGATTTTTCCCAATTTCAATAGAGTTCGTCCTTGGGCCAAATAAGTGAACTGTGCCAAATTTCATCCAAATCGGATCACAAATGTGACCTGTACTTTGTTAACAAAAATACACGGACGGACAGACGGACATGCATAAATCGACGTAAAAAGTGATTCTATGCATATTCTCAAAAGGAACCATATTCCTATCTCGTTTCCTTTTGCCTGTTACAAACACAGTGTGGTCTATTTTCCTGATGGACTATTAAGGCGTCGTTTAAAAATTATATATTTTTTTGAAAGAAATATTTTTAGGAAATATTTTTTTTTGAAGTCTACTAAGGCGTGGTTTTTAAAAAATATTTTTTTGAAGTTTATTAAAGCGTGGTTTTTAAAAAAATATTTTTTTGAAGTTTGTTAAAGCGTGGTTTTAAAAAGAAATATTTTTTTAAGGGCTATTAAGGCGGCTTTTTAAAATATTTTTTTAAGGACTATAAAGGCGGTTTTTTTTTAAATATTTTTTGATGGATTATTAAGGCGGGTTTTTTTAAACATATTATTAGAAGAACTATTAAGGCGTGGATTTTTAAAAATATTTTTTCAGTCGTGTATTTTTTTACAGGCATGCATTTTTTGAATATGCTTGCCAAAACGTTTTTCATGCCTGGATTTTTTTTTAATATTTTTTCTAAAATGTTCCTTAAACCTTGTTTTTTAAGTATATTTTACAAGTTTTTAAAATATTTTTCCAAACTTATCCTGAGGCTTAGATTGTTTAGAAAATTATTTTCCAAACACTTTTTGACGCGTGGATTTTGAAAAATTTTTTTTTTTTAATTTTTTGAAAGTACTCGTGACTCGGTATCTTTTCAAAAAAATATTTCTCAAGCTTTAGTTCTGGCGTTGAGTTTTAAAGACTTATTTTAAGCGTTAATTCGAGCTCTTCTTGAGCCTTGGATTTTTCTAGGCTCTTCTTGAGCCGTATATTTTTCTAGCCTTTTTTGAGGCATGGATATTTTAAAAAACTTGTATCCATGATCTTCTTGAACCGTGGATTTAAAAATGTTTAAAATAATATTTAGGCTTTTAGTTTTTAATATAATTTTCCAAACTCTTCTCGAGTCGTAGATCTTTTAAAATATTTTTTAAGCTTTTATAGGCGTTGATTTTCCAAACTCTTCATTCCTGAGTGGATTTTTAAGGCTTTTATTCGGACGTGGGTTTTCTAAAATTATTCTTCAAAGGCTTGGATTTTTATAATATTTTTCAAGGCAAGGTATTTTTAAGAAATGTCTTTCAAGGCCTTTTTTGAGATCTGATTTTGAATATTTTACCAATATTACTTTAAACTATATTTTTTAATATTGTCACATTCACACTTCACTGTACTGAATAAAACTCAAATCCACATCGGAGTTCTTTTTAATATTAAACTACAAAAATTGATATGAGCTTAGAATTGTCTCATTACGAATATTATAATTGGTTGTCTTTCAGAATATAAATTTTTTGCCTTCATCTTGGAACACAGTGCTTCTTCTTTAAATTGTTTGCTTCATACAACACATACCTATGCCAGGTGCGACGTGAGTGTAGTATCATCGCGACGATGTTCGAATAGAAACTAAATTGAAATGAACTTGCAACAAGGCATGAAGCACAAATTGGTCAAGCCAAGCCATTGGGGAGGAGTTAATGGATGGATGTTGCTTTGCAGCATTTTTTTCGATGAGATTTTATTTTTTGGAAATTTTTATTTTTGGCAACTATAAAATTGTCATGGTAGACTTGCGGCAAGATGATGAAGCTGGCGCAAATTGAATTAAGACTGAGTGTAAGCACGCATTAACTTCAATTAGTTGATTTTAAATTAAGAAATTAATTTTTTTCTTCACTTTTTTTTTTGGAAATTTGTATTACTAATCCACACACACACACACACATCGAATGAATAATCCAAAACCCAATTTAATGGCCAATCACACTTACCTAGCTGATGATGGACATGAACGCTTATCGCTGATACTTTTCAAATATTCCGATGGCTTGATAAGATGTGTAATGCCATCCAATGAGTTATTGGGGAAACTGGGTGGCACAAATGGCAATACCAATTGTTTATTTACAAGATTAGGGCCATTGGGACGGCCGGAGGAGGCGTTACCACCAGCAGCTGTGTTGTGACCGTATTGGGCCTGTGTCAATTCGTAATGATCCTCAGCTGATGAACCATAAATTTGTTGTTGCTGTTGTATTTGATTGTAATGATGCTGTTGAGAATTTTGTTGTGACGAATAGTTGCCGCCGCCGCCGTTGTGTTGTAATGTTCCTGCAATACTGCCACCCGAGCTGCCGTTGTGTTGCAAATGTTGATAATGAGATGAATTTTTGCCATAATTACCGCCACCGTTACCGTTCTGAAGATGTTGATAGCCACCATTGTTGCTGCTGCCGTTGTTGTTGTTGTTGTTGTGGTAATGATGATTGTTGCTACCACCCATATTGTTGTTGTTGTTAATTTCACCATTGTTGCCTGTAGACGTTGGCTGTTGCACGCTTGAGCCTCCATTAAGTAGCTTAGCTTTCTTGTTGGCTATACAAAAGTTAAAAAAAAATCCAATTGGAAATGCAAAAAAAGAAGAAGAGAGAGGGAGAAAAAACAAATTAATACAGAAATTTATTTATTAGATGCATCAAGAAACCGTAAGCTTACAAAATTTAATCTAGTATGTTATATACGAGGTGGGTATGAGGGCAAAGGATAATTTAAAGAATTATTTTTTAAGAAAATATTCTCTAAATAACATGAAATATAGTAGGTCTAGAGGTCTAGCCAAAATACAACCACTTCGTTGAGACAAAAGTACCAAAAAAGATACGGGATCTTTATATGGGGGTCGTGTATTGAAAATGTTTCAAAAACCCGGACTAGTAAATTATAGACTTTCCGGCTATTCAAAATATGAAAATTGGACGGAACCTTTATATTGGTATAAATTAGTCATGTACAAACATGTTTTTACTCTCCAAGAACGGAACGGAACCCTCCAGAACGCTCTTTACAGTCACTTTGATAGGAAAATGTGGCTTAAACTAAAATTTCCAACAAGTGGAAGGGAACTTTTGTATGTGATCTATATAAAAATATGAATATGTTCAGCAAAGGTGTTTTCACTCTCCTCAATGCCCAATTAGACCTTTTGAGAATTCGGCTTGAAATTTTAATATATTGAAAAATTGTGCGGAACCTTTATATGAGCCTATATAAAACCTCTATAGAAAATGTTCCGCAATGACGTTCCTCTAAGACCCCGGGTAAAATATAGCCTTCCGGTTGGGGAATGTGTCTAAAACTTTCAAATTAATTAATTGAAAATTCTTCGTGACCTTCATATGGAAGCTATACAATCATATATCCGTGATTATTTTATTCAGATCACTAATATATATATATATTATTTATGGGGTACATAATCAAAATCTTGATGTGTTACAAACGGAATAAAGGTAAAAAATAATATGAAATAAATCCACCGAAAAAATTGATCCAACCTCATTTTCAAAAATGTAAGTTCCACCGTCATCCGTAACTCGTGAGGTTTCCGCGTTCCAGATGTGTCAAATTTGCATCTTGACCTAGCCACCGAGGTGGAAATAGACCCATCAGTTAAGGATATTTTTCAAGAACACCCTTCAGTAAAGTCGTGTCTTTGATAGAAAAGTCTGGTTGGTCTCTTCCTTCTTGTTCTTTGGATCTGGATAATTCATAAACTTCACTCAAGAGTTATCTGTCACGACGACGATGAACCAATAATGAAAATTCCAGCATGAGTTATACAGTTCTTTATGCGATTGAGGTACCTCTAAGCCTTTTGAGAGCTTTATCTGAATCTTCTCATTACGAAACTTGTTGACAACGTTTTTTTTTAATTTCGGGAATTGAAATAAGTCATTGAATGTCAATTTGGATCTGTATGGCGTATGATACATCTATTCGACTCATTAGCCGACCAAAAAGACAATAATTTAAGCCGATCCATGGAGCACAATAATTAGCCTTTTCACGTTCCGACTTCAGGCAAACATATTGTGGTGTTCCACTCAGAATTGCAAAATTGCCGAAGAAGCATACGATAAGTTGCTTCGAAAAGCAAATCCATTCGTTGGATTTGATGTTTTGTTAGTTTTTTGGTGATGATCGTAATTTATGAAATCTTTTTCACCAATCGACCCTTGCTTTTCTTACTTGGTCGATTGCCATATTGTGCGGAATCTAACGAGAGCAATATCGAATGAATGCTGGTGAAAAAAAATCCTAAGGATGCCTTCAACTCAGGTTATAACATATGACGATATTGCATTATCGGTTCCTGCTCAGTATCACAGTCCGTTTGTGGACAACATTCACGGCCTTCGTATTTCAGAAAAGATTAGTCCCCATTGAACACATTGAATCAGCTGATCGCAGAGGTACAAAATGGCGACTTGTTGCCGTACAAAAATTTAAGTTCATCGACTTGTGTCGTGATAATCTCCGTCGAATATTATTCAGAAATTACCGAACGTATATGTTTATTTGTTGGACAAATTATTTTTTTAAATCTCTGAAAAAAACACAACACGTTGTAGTACGTAAATGTAAAAAATGTTCAATCCTTTACATGGTGTATAATCAACCAAAACTTAGTTATTTTTGACTGGCCGAACATGTTGTATCCACAATTATGACGAGACATTCGCAATACAAATTTAGGTTTGTTGGGACCCATATAAGCGATCTGTGGTAAAAATATGTTGAAGAGGTTTTTTTTGTACTCTTAGGGATCGAAATACCCCTAACATACATGCAAATAAATTTTCAAGAATCCGGAATGCCAAATTATAGTGGCAAAAATATTTAAAATACTCGAAATAGTGCTATATATATATATATATATATTAGGTTGGGGAAAAAGAAATCCATTACTTTTTTCGGCAGATGGCTGTACTGACAGATTTCTTGTAAAATATCGATCAAACAATTTCAGATTTATGCTCGTTGTTTTTTGTTTGTTGCATTCGAAGTTGACCGGCATGTTAGTAGTCGTAACATCGCCCCACGAGCTAAAAATTTACCATAAAAATATTTTAAAGCATTTACAATTGACCAGAAACGGCCAGAATTGGACATCAGGAGAGATGTCGTGTTCCACCAGGACAACGCTAGGCCACATACATCTACAGTGACTCGTCAGAAACATCGGGAGCTTGGTTGGGAAATTTTAATGCATCCGCCATTCAGTCCAGACCAAGCGATTATCATCTTTTCCTTGCATTGCAAAATTTCTTTAATGATGAAAAAATTGGTATCTAGGGAGGATTGTGAAAATCGACTACTAGAGTTTTTTTTGCAAATAGAGAGTGGGACTTCTATGACAGAGGCATTATGAAGTTACCTTTAAAATGGCAACCAATTATACAATTCCTATAGTTCATTTAAAAATAATGTATTTCGTTTTTGCCCAACCTAATATTTCGGAAGAGGCATAAACCAAAATTTTAAATTAAGTACCAACAGCGGTCGGAAAAGAGGCGTAGGACCTTGAATATATATATATATATATATATATATATGTAAAATGGGGCGGAGCCTTTATATGGTCTCCCCAAGAACCTACGACATAGCTGGCATAGTACATACTTGCAATTCGTGGAGTAAAATAAAATGTATAACAATTTAATGAAATAAAACAAATTAAATAAGGCATAAAAATTTCGATATCATAGAGGAAACATTTTTATCTTAGTACAAAATTGTACATTCTTGCAGATTCTGGAACAGACATTTTGGTTTTAATATTTAAAATTTTATTTTTAATTTGTTGCATTCTAGGTTCTTTGGGAGACCATATAAAGGTTTCGCTCCTTTTAGGTGTTTTCAGGATCCTAGGTATTTTCCAACCAAAGTCGTGGCTATAATTTAAAATTTTGTGTTCGTCATTCTACAGAGAAGGTTAACCAGAAGAATGGTGTTTATCCTATTCCTAACATTTCAACTTTTCCATTAACTACAAATCGCCTACTTAATGTCTACATTTTTTCACACAAAGAGCCTAACCTCGTAGTGAGCCTAATTAACTTATTGTTAACAAGTTATTTTAATTTTAAGGTTTTTTTTGTTGCTACTGTTGTTTTAAGTTCAATGGTATTTTATGTGTTATAGACCAGCCAAGTTGCAACAGTCTAGAGACCTGCAACAATGTATGTTTGCCTTTGGCTAAAAACAAAACCCAAAGTGTTATTCAAACTCATTGGCTTACATACCTATAAGTTATATGTTCATTTACAGTAAATTAATTAAAAATCACCAGCTTAACTCCCCTTTCGAACACCCACCCCACTCTACAAAATCCATAATGGTTTGCCTTATTTATTTATTTAATCCGTTAAAAAGTATATCGCGCATATTCAGCACCTCAAGTGTTTTTTCTTGCTGTTCAAAAAGATAACTGTGTTTTGTCGGCTACGATGGCATGCGCTTCGCAAATTTGCAACAGACCGTTTGATGTTTTTCTAGATTGGATTTTTTGTTTTGTTGTTGTTATTGTTGTTGGCATTGCATCTTCATTTGCTAAAATTTATGTATGTGGTTTGTTGTTCCAGAAAATAGAGAGAGGAAAAACAAATGAAATAAAATAAAAATAAACTGAGGCTAATTTATGGTATCTTGTCATGACTCAAGTCTCAACTGACTATGGTTTCAAATCTCAGGATACATTGCAATTGGAATTAGATATTAGAATCGAACAAGCATTGAAAGGTAAGATATAATAATCCTAAGCAATCTGATAGTCTTTAAAGGCCGTTGGAAAATTTAGAATTTTAATAGGTTCTGTATGAACATATTCTATAAGGAGACTAATGAAGAGTTTGCTATTAAAACCAATAGCCAAAAAGAATAATTCTGTAAGACTTCAGAATTTCCGTTTCAAATCTTTTACCTCAGCATTCCTCTTTAAGATGACCTATCAATGGAGAGCTATCCGTCTTAACAAGACCTCGGCAAGTCCCTATAACCGCCTTCTTTGACAAAGTATTGGTAATGGAGATCTGGAGACTGTTGCTTGTTATGCGATTACAAGTCTTCAATTAATAGAGGCACTGAAAGGTGCTCCATAAAAAAAAAAAAATCTGGCTATCAAAATTATAGCCTGTGGGTCTTATGTATATAGAAGACTGATACATCTATAAAATATATGAATGGTTTCCTATTAATAAAAGGCAAGATCAACGTCTTCCCTAAAAAACCAGTAAGGAAAGTAGTAAAGTCGGACGGGGCCGACTATATGATACCCTTCACCACTATGGGTATATTAAACAGGACTATAACATAAAATTGGATGAAGAAAATGTGATATTTATCTAAATGTGAATCTACCTAGATTTATCCATAAAGTATGTCAATCGACTTCAAACAAATATAAATAGGTCATCCGTTGGGCTATGTCTGCACTTCTAGAAAACGCAACTAATTCTATGGTCAATTTTGTAAGTTGTGCAAAAATTTGATGTCAATCTGACTAACATGAGGAGTTTGATGCCCAATGTATTTGA